TGTTGTTCTTTTTCTACCATCTAATAAAATCTGCAACAAAGTTTTTGACATCCTTTCTAAAAAAAACTTGAGTACAAAGGGGGGAAAAAGAGAAATTAGCCTGTGAATAATAGAATGTTGCGGATCTAAGATGAATAGTTGCAACCTGCACTATTCACGGGTCGATATTTGCAACTCAACTTTTGCATGATGGTTGATAATGGCATACTCTGTCCTTCTATATTTTTACCGTAGAATTTTGTTAGTTCATTTCTTTTCGTGGGATGCGGAATATGTGAAGGCGGTATAGTACAAGAATTGCCTTCGGGCTACCTGGAGTCCTGGAGCAAACCCACCGGCGGATGGCAGTGACCAACCAAATCCACGGCAACGTCGACCAAATTCATGGAACCATGGTGGACAGGTGGACTGATGACGACCAAATGCACGGCAAGCGGATCTGTTTCCTAAATTTTCAGGTAACCTTGCACTTGATTGTGATGACCATCTCTCTTTGCAGTCAAATCACCTAATACTAGCTAGTTGTTCATGTAGGGAGAAAGCTGAGATGGAGTAAGCACAAAGCTAGGAAATGCAGATTGCAGACGCTGCTGGCTGCTGCCAGAAAATTCAGGTCAATGGTCTGCGGTGTCTACTTGCCTGTAGCCCCTACACCAGTCTGCTTAGTCCTCTAGTCGTCTACTCCTACACTGAAACACAGATTTGCTACTGATGGAGTACGTCGTAGAGAATATTGGTATGATCTCTACCTAGTAGCTAGTGCTACTCTACAATAGCACCAAAAGGAGGAGTACAGGGCAGTGAGACGCTAGGTACCTGGAGATCTTCAGGCAACATCGGAGTACGAGTGATCATCTGCTTTATCAAGAACAAGAATGTGCCCTTTTGGAACGGGAATACTGTGTTTTTGCCCTACTTTGATGTCCAATTATAATTTTATCCTTGTTTTTGTCATCATTGTGATTTTACCCATGTTTTGTAACTATTAAGGCTTAGTTTACCTTTACTTTTAACTCTGTTAGTTGTATCTAGAATAAAAAAATTTGAAAAACAACAAAACCCTTCACAGTAAGATCAAAGGACAACAATACCTCTTATCCACTCATACCCTCCTCAATCCCCCATCCTCTACCGTATCCTCTCTATCTCTCTCATTCTCATCACGTCAATCCTCTGAAACCCTAGCAGCGGCGTGGGCGTGGGGGTGCGGCTAGGCGGCTCCTTGCGTCTCGCGACGAGGGCACGGGCGCGGCCCCGAGCGGCCAGGCCTCGTTCGTTGGGCGGCCAGGCGCCCCGACGACGGGCGGCCAGGGCCCAGCGCAGTCGTGGCGGCTAGGACCAGGAGCGAGCAGGCATCATGGCGTAGTTGGCGAGGACAGGAGCAGCCACCCCGACGAGATGGATTTATGTGACATTGGTGAAGAGACTACGTAAGATTTGGAGCTCCTGTCATTTGGTTTGTAGGAAAATTAGTATCAATTTGTAGGAAGAATTAGTTTCTGTCTGTAGAGCGATTTAGCTAACTGTGTATTCGGTGATGTGATTTATAGGCCAAATTACATGGATATGAGCCTTATCGTTAGAGTTCTGTCATTTTTAGTTTGCTAGATGGGGAACCAAAATCATGGCGTCAGGGTAGAACCTTGCCTACTCAAGTTGTTGACATGCATGCTTCAACCTGCTACAGCTAGTTAATTTCATAGTTGAGCACTACATGTGGGGTTCAAAACAGTACATAACTTTGTGGCGTGCATTGGATGAAATTTCTAGAGGAACTTGTATTGAGATTAAAATGGATGAGCGGTTGCTTGAGTGGTTTGAACTCAATAAAGATAAGGAAAAGGTGTACATTAATGTCCAAATTAATGATTTTGAGGGTCCATTGCAGTATTCACCAACAAAACGTAGGTGTCACTCTTCTGTAAGGAATAGAGTGCCCACCAATGAGACAAACACTGCTGAGAGAGCCACATCCACAAACAAAAAAGAGAGAGCCACCAAATCCGAAGCAAAAGGCACACATGATGATGAGGGTGTAGGAGTTGATGAGGAGGGCATCTATTCTGACACTGATTCACTTGTGGCGGCAAGTGATAGCAGCTATGATAGTGACATGGCTGCATCCTCTAATTATTGTGATAATTGCTCTGACCTAGAGTTTAATCCTAATGCTGAAGTTGTTGTTGATGATGATGAATATGACCCTCCACCCTTCTCATATGATGTTGATAATCCATGTATATTGATGTAAATGTGGTGTTTCCAGACGTGGATCAGTGCAAGTCTGCAGTTACACATCATTCATCTTGAATGATGATGCTTTCGAGATTGTGAAAAAGGACAAGAGCAGATTTAGAGCCAGATGCAAGAGAGCATATCAAGGTTGCAAGTGGCTGTTTTTTTGCATCTACAAGTAAAAAGTACGTTGGCTGTAAGGTAATTTCAAATTTTTTGTAACATTCAGCATCAAGTAAGAAGAATTAGTTTGCAGCAATTTACTCATAAAATGGTTCTTTTCTTGATGTTTTTTTATTGCAGGTTAAGACTAGTAGTCCAAAGCATACTTGTGGTTCATTCAACAATTGTGGTGAAACAATGGCCTCCAATAAATGGATAGCTGAAAAAGTTATCGATTTGTCGCGGGAAGACTCTGAGAAGAAGTACTTGATAGAAGATCCATATGATAGAGTTTTCAGAGGCAAGCTAAGGACAATGGACATCATATAATGGAAGTGGGCTGATAGTTATAACTTACTACCAACTTATCAAGCTGAGCTTCTAAGAGTAGTACCTCGCAGCGTCGTAGACATAGACACTGAAGAAGATGGCAATGGTGATTTGTGTTTCAGTAGGTTCTTTGTTGCTCTTAAACCATGCATTGATGTGTTCTTGCAAGGATGTAGGCCTTACATTGCCATGGATGCCACACACTTGACTAAAATGGGAAGGGGTCATTTAGCAGCAGCTGTTGCAGTGGATGGTCAGAACTACTTATTTCCAGTGGCTTATGGTGTGATTGAGATTGAGTCTAAGGAAAGCTGGACTTGGTTTGTGAATAACTTAAAGAAGGCTATTAGTACTCCTACAGGCTTGGTCATTAGTACAGATACGGGCAAAGGAATTGAGGTGGTTGTACTGATGTGTACCAAGGAGTGGAACATAGAGAATGCATGAGGCACTTGTGGAAAGAACATGAAGAAGAATGGGTACAGTGCATGAGGCACAAATGACAAGTTCAAGTACTTCATGCGAAACATAGAGAAGGATCCTAGTGCACTATCCTGGTTGGATGACAACCTTCCATTTATGTGGAGTAGAAGCAAATTTGGGGAAGAATGTAAGGTAGATTACATCAACAACAACCTCTCTGAAAGCTTTAACAGTTGGGTGTTCAAAACCAAGGATTTTCAAATTGTGGATATGCATGACAAGATAAGACAAATAATTATTAAGAAATTTGTTTTGAGAGCCAAAATTGCTAGTAAAATGTCAAGCACAATCATTCCAGCTTGACCAATGCTCTAAATGTTAAAGTCCAGAGTATCAAGGGCCATGAGGTATTGATATGTGGGGCTAGAACAGCTGAAGCAACTGTGAACAGATTCAGGTACGCAATCAACTTAGAATAAAAAACATGTACTTGTAGGGCTTGGCAAGTAACTGGAAAGCCCTGCACACATGCTTTAGCTTTCATTTCTAAGATTAGTAGAGAGGTACGAATGGATGACTTTGTGCATGAATACTTATCTATTGATCAGTTAAAAAAGGCATATGCATGTTCTTTCAATCCAATGCCATCCAAGGATAATTGGCCACATGTTGATTTGGGCTATAAAATCAAGAAGCCTAAACTGAGTAGGAAACCAGGAAGAGCAAGAAATTATAGGATCAAGTCCTATGATGAGGCCACCACCAGTAAGAAAAGGAGACCATGTTCTGAATATAATGAACTAGGCCATATAGTCAAGTATTACCAAGGAGGTCCAACTGCTAGTCAAAAGAGGAACCGCTCATCTTCTAAAAATGAATCATCTTCACAAGCATCAATGTGAGTCATACTCATTCGTTTTTTTTTTCTTTTTTACTCTTGCTTATTTAGTCAACTTGTTTATTGAACCATTTTTCTCCATTCATGTGAAGTGCAAGTGCAAGTGCAAAGGGAATGAGAAGGGGAAGAGGAAGACGAAGAGGAAGAGGAAGTGCAAGTGTAGGACCAGGAACAGAAGGGACTGGAACAGAAGGAAGAGGAAGAGGAGGGAGGTTGGCTGCATTGTTAGGAATAGATGCATGAATGTGATGTATGACACTGAACGTGTAATATCTCACTATTAGCTACCATTTTTGTTGGACTTGTATGTTGAATGAAGCTTGGTGTTGTATGGATACTTTTGCTACACTTTCATTTGATGTGATATTATCTATCTATATTTGCATGTTGTGTTGAATCATATGTAACAAGTTGTGCAATGATGCTGCTAAATTTAAAAAAAAAACAGGGTAAAATGACAATGTATTCAGATAAGTAGGGGCAATTTCGCATGGGCAAACTTGTCCTTACTGAGCCCATTTGACACCGTTACCTGTTGTTCACGGGGTAGAGGTAAACTTAAGCTTCGTTTTCAAAAAAATAGGGGTAAAATCACAACTATGACGAAAGCATAGGTAAAATCACAATTGGACGGGCAAGAAAGCAATAGCTTGGTTGCAGTTGCAGCTCAAGGCTGCGGTTTTGAAAGTTCATCTGGCAAACCCTTATATGTTCCTTCCTTTGCTGGTCAAATAATCCTGATTACCACCTCTGAAGTCTGAACACTTGCATGATCACTCATGGTTTTCGAATTGTTGTTATAGTGACACTGACAGAAGAAATAAGGGATGGACACAAATATTTGATATCTGATATCAATCGAAACAAAAAAGAAAAAGAAAAGAAAATACAATCATGCAGTCTCATTGTACAATACATCATTGTCCTTAATGCTGAACTGCTATGACACGAGCTATGTTTTTGCAATCTTTTGGAACTTTGAAATGGATTGAGATTTTGTTTTGGCCGTTCTCCTCGTCCTGCTACGGGTACCAGAACATTTCATCTCGTACGCTTGCGACGCCGTCAATGGCTGTGTAAAGGCTGGAGCAACCGCGCAATACATGGAGCTTTGTGGGCTCCAGATCTGCCTTTGGTAACTCAACGTTTGTCTCTCATCATCGTAGAAACCATCAGTAACATTGGGCAGCAGCTTCCTGATAACATCTTGCTCAACGAGCTCATACTGGCTGGAATGCTTCTCAGGCAAGAGATAGGGGGACACATGGCACTCCAACTCAAGGGGGAAGGCTGCCCTTCCTGTCGATGCATGGTGAGGCGTAGCAAAATGCAGTGAACCGAAGCACTGGATGAGACAGTAATAGCATCCCATTACCTCTATGCTTATCATCGCCCGTAGATGACTCACAATCATTACGGTGATAACTCTCAATTTGTCGACAGCACCATTTCGATCTTTCTGAAAGACTGCAACTGCAACAGTCACCACTTTGCCCTATTGTTTCAGTTAACAGTCCACCGATGGCTATGCGTGCAGCATCAAATTGAGGTGGCAAGAGCTCCAAGCAGCTTATAGCAATAGCCACTATGTCGGATGCCTCAGATAGACGGAACAAAACACACATCTTGAAGCCTTTTTGCCACACAACTTCATCTTCACGCGAGACAAAGAGACATGCCTCCAATCCACTTCCACTCTTAGCATCCGGGTGGTCCTGCCATGGCCACAGCATAATATGGTCATTGCCAGTTTTTGTTTGGATCAAGAACTCCATTGAATCACCGGCAAACAACGCCCTGGTTAGCGGCGGCAGAAACACGGACTTCTTTGGGTGGCCGCCAGACTCTACCAGCCTGAAGAAGCTGTCCGCACCATCAGCGAGCATCTCGAACCTCCGCAGCGTGCTGTCACTCAACCTCAGCTCATCTTCTTTGCGGCGAAAAGGAACAAAGCGTTTGGCCGCTCGAATCAAATACTGAGAGATCGAGTTACCTGACGAACTGTCGCTGACGCGATTGCACCGCAAGGTTTGCTTCTTGTGCACATGCAGAAGATGATCACCTTCCTCAGCGACACGCTTTAGCTTCGCCTTCCACTGCAGCAACGGGAGGTGGGAGATGCGGAGATGTTCCGAGACGGCAACAACGCTGCGGATCTTCAGCACCGCCATCTCCAGTCTCTCGGCTTTGTCCTCCACGCTCTCCTGCTGGCTAGTTTTGTCGCTGGAGAGAAAAGATGATACTGCTCTGCTCACTGCCTCACTTGCCACAGCTGACCCTACTATTTCCGCCATTGATAATCACTCGGAATTTCTGATGAACGGAGTTACGGAGAAAAGGGGTTTAGTGTGTTCTACAAACAAGTTGATTGGTCATACTAGATAAGTTCAAGGCTGTCATTATAGGACAGGTGTGTGTGGACATAATGAATTCTTCAACACATTTATTAGACCAAGGAAATTACACGGAAGGGGATGGTTTCGTGAGCGGCATGGTCATGAGTGATGACTTTCTAGTCTTCTGTACTGCATAGGAGCCTTGTAATGATATACTCCAATTGCCTCGCAGAAAGTAACAGCTCGTTGATTTTTGAAAGTATGAAACAATTAAATAACTAAAAACCAGAAAAAAAATCTAAGAAAAAGAATATCTCATTGATCGTTTACACGTTATACAGTAGGTCTTCTACTGCACATGGTACATAGATATACACTATATTCCGATATATATAGTAAAAACAATACATCCACAGAAGTCAAAACATTTGTAATTTGGAACGGTGAGAGTATCAAATAAACTTCTTCAACAAGCATCATTACGACATTACATAAGCAATAATAGGACACTAGCTAGTTAATGCTGACTGATGTCGCTCGGGAAGGTAGCTCCAGCTCATTCGCCGTTCCATTTTTTTTTAAAACTTAAATGCACTTGCGGTCCATACGCGTCTCTTAGGTTTAGGAACTTCGAAAACATATTTCTATATCTCTAAACCTGTTAAATAGTACACCACATGTCCATGCCAGTTATGTAAATGTTCCATGCTAACGTGGCATGTCAAATTTGCATGTTTTGTTATATTTAACCTCTCCCATTTTTTCTCTCACAAATAAATCCTTAATTTCCTCTTCTCTCACGTCGACCCCATCCCTGTAGGAACCGTGGATCCGCTCGCCTCGCTGCTATGGCTCCCCGGCACATGCACGGCACCATGACGCCGGCCACGCAGGGAGGACGTCGGCCTGGACCTAGACGCACAACGTGGATCCGCTCGCCTCGCTGCTATGGCTCCCCGGCACATGCACGGCACCATGACGCTGGCCACGCAGGGAGGACGTCGGCCTGGACCTAGACGCACAAGATACCCACCATCTGCTAGCTGGTTGCGAGCCAGTATTAGCCATCCGCCGCTGGAGAAGCGAGGATCCATTCATGAGAGAAGAGGGAATGATATGGGTTAAATGTAATAAAAGAACCTCTTGCGCTGCACAGATAACAAGGTGTTGGACATTGGTTAGGCGGAATGGTGGCACGCAAATGAGCCGCGGCAGTGAGGCGAGAGGAGCCGCGGCATCCACCGAGCTAGGGTTGACGTGAGGCAAGAGAACGCAATAATCCATTCATGAGAGAAGAGAAAAATGGAGGGATTAAATTAAAAAGACATGCCATGTCGAATGCCTACATGGCTAACATGGACCTACTGCACATTATTTAACAAGTTTATAGACCTAAAAATTATATTTTTAAAGTTTACGAATCTAAGTGACATAACCTTACAAATTTGAGGACCGTTGATGCATTTAATTTTTTTATATCAATCATTCACCGAAGCAATGGTGCCCGAATGTAAATTTCAGTAACAAAGCACAAAAGTACGACTTCCAATCTACTATGATATATCTTTTCGAAGTATTTTTTTCGGTAAGCTCATCAAAAGCGAGAGATAATAATGCATTTTAGGTCGTTTGGCATATGCTCTACTTCATCATGAAGCAATTATTTTTGGGTTCAGCTTCAGAGCAGCTTTACTGGTGAAGTTAATGCTGTTTTGATAAACTACTCGGCAAAACAACGCAATGAGTAGAGCTCCTGAAACATGCTCTCACAGAATTCTATGCAGCGCCCACCAGAGCGAGAGAAAGTTGGGAGAAGCTACTATTTTTAACTTCATCCCACACCAATCTTGTGTAAGAGCATGTTTTAAGGAGCTTCACATGTGAAGCTATTTTAAAAATATCGGTTTGTACAAAATAATTTCAAACAACTCATGAAGTTGGTGAAGAAACATGTCCGAAAGCTTACAACTTGCAATTAATGAATAGTCCTCTCTAGAAGACGTAAGGTGGACGACAACTTAATAGCTTGTTAGAAACAGAGGCCTTGGAATTAGATCCACATCAACACAAATCGCAGGTCAGTCCTCTCAAAATGTAAAAAAATACCGTTGGTCAGACTACGTAATTATATGATTGTCTCAGGAAAACATGATCAAGATCGGATGATTTTCCTTTTTCCACGAGGAAAGTTTATTAGGCCAGACTGAGCACGACGATCTAATGGGCCATGATAAGGCCTAGCACAACCTGGTCCTATGGTCCATGTTATAAGTGGCCCATGATTTGAGATTAGGTCTAAATCAAACTATTCTAAAGCATGACTATGTTTATAAAAAATAGTATTAATAACTATGATTCCAAATAAATATATGTGAATAAAATACACTCTACGATGAATCTAATAACGGTATGCCTAGCACTGGACGTCCAGCGCCAGGAAGTGTCCGGACGCTCATGCTAGCATGCATGCGTGCATCCCCATCCGTGCCATATCTCTCCTCCACAAGCCCCCCATCCCGCCCTCCTGCAGCTGCTGCCGCGATCTCGACACGCCCGAGCGACAAGAGGGAAGGGCCCTCTCCGATTAGGAAGGCCCGTTTGCATGCCCTACCGGCTTCGGGAGAGACGATGCAACAGACGGTGGGAGGAGAGATGCAACACCCGATCTACTTTTAAAACATCCAAAGACAACAGTTGCAACATACGTCTGAAGACAGTTGAAACTCTTGAAACATGCTTCTGAAACACTTGCGAAACACAATTGAAATGCAACGGGGACCTAAAACATACGCGTATGTGTGAAAACATATGCAACCAGATAAAGAGACTTGCAAGAGGGGAAAACGATGAAACATACCTCTAAAAAAACATATGAAACACTCGAAATATATTTGCAACATGCCTCTAAAAACAAGGACCCGATCTACAAGGCATCCATATGATTGAATGCCCATACTAAAACGCCTCAGAAACAATTGCAATTGCAATATAAGGGGAGAGAGAGAAAGCTCCGATGCATTGATGAAACCCTAAGTGAGTTTATCGGTGAGATAGGTAGCACTACTCCAAGTGATGAAGATGCAACATCCCAATGGTGATCTACTTTTAAAACATCAAAAGATATAAAACAGGAGCCATTTTGTTTTGCAATCAAGACACTTAGTGAGTGTGATCACATTTAGGAAGATAGCCGCGTACTATTAAAAACTCTTGAAACAAGTTATCAAAGTGCCACTAGATGCTCTAACTCATTGTATATGCATTTAGGATCTAAACACTTGAAAAATATTTGTGAAAAAACACAATTGAAAAGGTTTTTGCGTGGTTGAGATGGGTTTGGTCCTTCTCTCCCTCGCGCCGAACATCAACGCTTTGGAAAAATAAAACATATGCAACGTGGCACATTTGTGAAAGTTAGAGTTGAAACATATGCAACATTCGCCGGATAAACACACTTGCAACATGCATCCAGAAAACAAAGATGAAACATACCTCTAAAAACATATGAAACACTCGAAACATATGCTTGCAACATGCCTCTAAAAACAATTGCAACATCCCTCGATCTACTTTTGCAACATCCATATGATTGAACTGCAACATACTCGAAAATGATGAAGGGTACAACGGCTCTATTTGATAGGGGCTCTATTTATAGCCCCATGGCGCCTCAAACAATTTTGAAACATACAATTGCACTCATCTCCATCATTGATCCATCATCATTGTGAGATTGGGAGAGAGAGTGCATTGCTTGAGTGAGTGGCACTTGGTATTCGTGTTGTGATGTGGATTTCGCTGCTTGTTTCTCTTGGTGGTTGGGAGCAGCGGTGAAGGATCGGCATGAGTTGGTGATTGTTCGTGGGCATTGATTGTGAGGGGAGTTGTACCTTCCCGGGGGGCTAACTCTAGTAAATTGCTGGGGTCATTGAGTTACCTCACTTGTGGGTCGGTTCTTGCGGTGTCCAATCGTGTGGACGAGGTTTGTGAAACACCTCTTAGCCGCCGAACCACCAAGTGTTGAGTCACTGGCGGGGGAAAGCGTGTTGGCAAGCACGTGAACCTCGGGAGAAAATCGATTGTCTCTCTTCTTTGTCATTCTCCGGTGATTGGCTATATATTCATCTTATGATTGGTTCATCCCCCACACGTCGGTATAATCACTCTACTCACTCATTTACATTCTTGCAAACTAGTTGATACAAGCTCTTTAGTGTAATTAGAATTGAGAGCTTGCTTTATTATTTACATTCATCTAGTTGAGCTCTTTAGGGTAGCGAGGTTGGGATGGAGGATGCCAGTTTGTGTGCCTAAGTATTCATTGCAACTAGAATTGTTGGATAGGTGGGCAAGTAGAGCTAGAGTAAGTTTGCATTACGCTATTTGTCATATTAATCAAATTGTAGTTGGTAGAGGGCCATATTAGGACCTTTCAGAGAGGCTGGCGTGGGGAGCGCCATGGTCGCGAGATCTCACGGGCATTGGGGCTCCAGCGGTGGGGAGGACGCAAGCGGGTGTGGGAACGCTATGGAAAGGAGCCACGGGGTAGAAGGAGGAGGAGCCGGTGTAGGAGAAGGAGCCGCCGGGGTGGGGATGGAGGATGCCATGGTGGGGGAGGAGGAGGAGGGGTGGGTGGGAGGGACCGCACGGCTTGCTGTGGATGGGAGGAGAGCGCGCGCTATATGGAGAGGGAGCTGCTGCGTCCATGGAGGGAGGAGGGTGGCCGACGGATGGAGAGGAGCGGGCGCACACGATGGAGAGGAGCTGGGTCAGCTAGAAGGAAGAGAAATGCGTCGTTCATTTTTTAGATGGAACATGAGGAGGAGTAAGCCGGGCAACTCCGCAGGCCTAGGGAGGCTCGTCCGGATATACGGAAAGCCTCACCATATCATTATGGATCTAATAATACTAATTTGATATAATAAACATTAGTTTTTTTAAAAGAGTTTGGTTAAACT